ATTATTATATGTATATAAATATTATAAATGTATTTAATTTATTATTAATTATTATACATCTACATATTTAATTACACATAATTTTATTATACAATATAGAAATCATAAAATTGTATAAAATTATTTTGTTACTACTTCAGAATTTAATTAAAAGATGCTGATTTCGCTGCAGATTCATTGTAAATTTTTATTCTCTCGTATTAGATGCAAATTTCATTGGGTAAAGCGATTTGTCGTGATTCGTAAACTGTTATCGCGATAACTTGTTGGTGTGGAAAGCCCGCCCGGTGACCCGTAACTGCCAGACGAATGTACCAGACGAATCATAAATTCTCGTCTATCTAGAATTATTCATAGAATAGAGATCGTAGACGGTGTGTCGAGGCACGTGTCGCGTTGCGTAGATTTCACCTGAAAGCGCACGTGGGTGCTCAAACTCGTTCAATAGAGTACAAATACATGTCGGGAGAATTGATCGCTTGACCGCTGAAATAATTACGTTGAAGGATAATCATATTGTAAGTTTTGTAATACAATTATTTCTAGAAAATTATTGCGCATCTGATTCATGATCGTCGCGCCTGTACATTGAAAATTCAAATGTGTAAAAAGTGATTTTAATATATGTGTGTGATTAGTTTTTAACAGTGAAAAACACTATATTGTATTTAAAAAATGGATTCATACCTTTTAACGTGTAATGTCATTGAAAACTAAGTTACACATATATATTGATGTCATTTTTTATACACTTAGATTTGTAATATATACCTATCTCTAATGTCCGGTTCCAACGTAAGATTTAATCTCAGTTTAATTTACTCTTTATCTTTTTTAATTTCGAATTAGAAAAAATAAATAGTAAGAGAAATCAAGATGAAAATTATTCTTACATCAGTGAAATCAGCTTAATGATAGCTATTGCATTTCTAACTTTAAACTTGCAACTATATAAAGTTGATAAACTATATATAGTTTTTTAAGTATATAAACTAATTTTATACAGTCTTGATCATAAGTATAATCATTCAGTTGTTTGCATCTTTCTTGGAGAAAACTAACAAGATATTAAAATTAATATAAATATTATATTTTTCAATAAAATTATTATTTAATTTATTTTTCATTAGATAGAGAATGATTACGTTTGTGATGATTCAATATGTCGAAATACTTTATACTTTTGGTCCAAGGCTATATAAAATTATAAAAATTTTGGGAGATTTATATTTCTGTATGAATCCGAATTGAGGATAGATTTCTAAGTAAATAAATTTTCAAATTTTTAAACAAGTTTGTTTACGATTCGTCATCTTCGTCTCATCGTATTCTTTCGTAGAGTTTGTGGCGTCATTAAAGTTGGCAACCGTCGCGTGTGGGATACACGCATAGTGCCTGATACACGCATAGTGCCTTATACACGCATGTTAATTCGCGTGTGAGTAATCGGACCGCTTACTTCTGATTGGAATATCGTCAGACACGCGTATGTACGCATGTATACACGGTGTTCATGATCGATTTGCTGTCCGTTGTATGAGCGACTATCTCCGATAAATGGTTCGTCCAAATAACTTTGTTAATTTGCGTCATGCAATTCCGTAACGTGAAACGAAATCTTCGTCGACGAAAAATTCACTCGGGATTCCCCGGATTGCGAACGGATTGTTCAAATATATACCATGTACATGCATGAAAAAAAAAAAAACAGTTTTGGTAAAAAGTATCGAAAAATTTAGCTAGAAACAGATGTGAAAATAAATTTTGTTGAATTCTCAAAATAATTATGTAGAACGTACAAACTGCTAGAATTTTTTGTAGCATTTTATAGCACATTTGCTCATCATACTTGAGTTTTCTGAATAATTATTTCGACGGTCTAACAAAATTATTTTCAGATCCGTATCTATCTAAATTTTTTGGAGTGGAATTTCACTCTGAAGAATCAGAATTGAGCCAGTCCTAAAAAAAGAGTGGCTCAGTTTTCAATCTTTAGAATATGAGATTTCACTCTTCAGAGTGAGAGAATCACTCTAAAAGTTTTTGAAAGAGTAAATTTTATTAGATACTTTAGCAAAATAGTTTTTTCCGTGCATATGATACGATCGCACGAGCGGCGTGATATATCGAGTCGCGAGACCAGTGAATAATAGAACTCGAGGTCTTATTGGCAGGTGCGAGCATTAAGTAATGGTCACGAGATGTATGTGTGTGTGTGTGTGTGTGTGTGTGAGAGAGAGAGACAGAGAGAGAGCGAAATTAGAGGCTGCCTGTCGGTGTTTGATTTTAGCAGAATATAAATCTATGTCTTCGTTATATTCGTCAAGTGATTAGATTTGAATGAAGAGTGTTGGCGATTAATTGGACACTGCTTATATCTGCGATGGGTCAAGTGGGTTAATTGAGATCTTTGGGTAAATGGGACAACTTAATGAGTTACCAATGACAAAGCTAATCCCTATCATCTCTTCGCGATCACGCGGCGGTTGCCGAGCGTGTGCTCGCGACTTTTCCGACGAGACTCTGGTATATAATAGCCATTAATTTCGGAAAATTATGCGTTATCCCCACACTTAGTCGGCGATTTCAATTACGCTCGTAGTCAAGTTATAATTTGTAGCCACCTTGCTCACGCATAATGAGCGGTATTTCACCGACTGACGATTGATAACAATTAATCTCGTCACAGTGTCTTATTTTCAACAATATGACACGCAAACTATTTCGTCGCATTGATAGAAAAATAGCAAAAGTAAAAAATTAGCATTTTTCGAGATAATGGATGGAAATCATTGATTCTAAGGATTAATATATTGTTATGAATAAAATAACATAAAAATGGCGGATTGCAGTGTTCGAATTTTGAAAATCTCATCACACAGTTTTAAAAAATACATTATAATTTAAAATATAAAATGAACCGAAAATGAAATTATGCATATTCACTATCCATTTAAAATTTTGTTCTAATTCAGAAAGAATTTTAATCATAAATAAGTATACATATTTTTTTGTGACGCTAAGAAAAGAACATATGAATCCTCATTAAAAAAGTTTTTTTGTTAATAATTTTAGAAGTTTTAAAATTTTTAACCGTATACAAAATTGCAATATTTGAATTCAGCAAATAACAGAACAGAATTCAGAATACAACATATGACAGAACAATTTTTTGATATTTGACTATGTTGTATTATATGTTACTGTAATTAGAATTATTATAAATGTATAATTATAATTAGAGTCAGAAATACCAAAAATTTTTCTCTCAGCTTATAGAATGAATATAATTATATCCTACATGAATAAAATCAAACTATGAAAAATAAGAACTGTGAAACATAGAATTAGTCTACATTATTATATTATTTAAATAATCTCCCAGGATTATCAGGATTCATATGTTTCACTTAGAGGTTAAAAATGCACCAAAGAAAAGTTGCTAATTTTCAGTTATATTTTTTTATCAATGCAACGATTTATGACAATAGGAAGTAATTATAACAATAGGATGCGGATGCAACTTTATAGAAATAATTAATCTGAAATATTTAAACAATACTGCTATAATACTAGTACGTTTGAATTACGTCTAATACGATGATAACGAGAGTATGTCCATATTCTGCGTGTTTTCGAAACAGTTGGTGCAGTCCCAATTGTCGTCCGACATTGGACCAGATGCCTTTCTGGCCGACGAGGCCTTGGACGGCTCCGGAAGCGGGGACAGCCCGGTTTGGAGGCAGCACGGAAACGGTGAGATCGATGACGACGAGGACGGCCACGATCGCGACGATGACGACGAGGCCTCCGGCTCCGGAATGGGTCCCACCACGATAGGTATCGTATCCCACGGGCCATTTACGTCTGCATTGATTTGCATTTTGATAATATCAGCCGGTGCATTCCCGGTGGAAACTTCATTGTCAGATGAATCCTCTGTGTACGGCGCGTATCGAGTGTCATTATTAGCGATAGGACTTCATTCTCGACCAGGGTTCTATAGCACGTATCAAATGGCGCATTATCTGTCGATGTGTCTCGACAAAAGAGAGAGAACAGTTTTTTTCCGATAAAAGAGCATAATAGGAATTAGTATGATTTAATTACTGAACACAAAGGCAATTGCAAAATAAGTGCACGAAGTATTCTGGTAATGCGTAATTCCATGCGGTGCACGTTAAATATTATCTGAAAACACATTTCAACAAGAGGGATTCCAATAATAAAGGAGAATTCGGATTAACAACGAGAAGCACAGGAGATAAAAATTAGCGGTGCGAGAAATGGAAAGGCAGCAGCGATTTTAAAATAACATACTGAGAGAGAAAAATATTTGACATTTGTGACTAATTGCATGATAAAATAATTATGGTTAGGAGCTCTCCATTTTATAGTTATTTCAATTTGCTTGTTATATAAAGCTTTTTAGATAAAATTTTATAATATTCTTCAAGAGAAAATAAATTCTTGTTTTGAGTACAAAATAAGTTTTTAAAATTTATAATAAGTATATTTTTTAAGACTATTATTCAGAAAATATTCTTTGTTAAAAATAATCGTTACTTAAAAATGTAAACTGTGTAACATTTTTATTACCAAAATGATATTTTTTTATGTGTATAGGCGATCCCAAAGACGATTATAAATGATCGAGGCCATCTATATATGTTTTTTGTATATAAAACTGTAAATATAATAATTATTATTAACATTATGTAAAAAAATAGAGTTTTTAATTTTATAATCATAACATTACCATACAATTATATACTCATAAATACCAAACACTTTTCTGTCCATATAGATGAGACCGCTTTTCTTATTCTAATTACAATTACGGGGAATATTCGTTTCATTCAAACAAGAAAGGAAACTTGATGTGCCAAAGAAATGAATTTGCATTTTTCGTTTCAGACCCGTCGATGAAGACTCATCCGAATGGTCCGCTCCACGATGGGTCGTCAACGATCTTGTTATCATTCGCGGCCCTCGCTATCGTCTGTGCATCGCTTATCGCTTAATCGGTTACATCGCCAAGAGGGTATGATTTCGATCGCGATTCACGGCCAACGTAGACAAGGCATAGATAAGAAGAGTTAAACTAGTTTCGCGATCGGAGGATTGTTAGCAGGTCGGATCCTATCCACTTTTCACACGGGATTCTTCCGGCGTGCGTGAATGCCGATGAGCAGTCTCGTAAGGAGATTCACGGGTGAGCTTCCGCCTGCCGGAATCGCGTACAAGCGATGCCGTTGATAATTTATCGATGGCGTGTTGGGCAGCGAAGCGAACTGTTCCTGCCGCGATCCCGCTGGAAGGACGCCGCGGTTCTCAGTGATATATATCGGTATGCGAGAAGCGCGCGCGCGCGCGCGTGTGTGTGTGTGTGTGTGGGTGTGTGTGTGTGTGTGTGTGTGCGCGCGTGTGTGTGAGGGGCGGTTTGTAAAAGTATACGATGGGGAGAAAGGGAAAGAGAGAAAAGAGCGTACGGCAAAGTGGAAAGAAGTGATAGGCGAACCGAGTCTGAGACGTCGCGCTCATAAAACGGGATGATAAATTTCGCGATGTTTTCCAGGTGCAGTTTTTCGATAGGAATGTTAGTTTCTTTTTCTTATTTTTCGCGTATCAATTTTACGCAGATAGTTCGCGAAACTGGAGCGCGTGATGCTTGCCTCGGTAAAACGCGAAATTAACGCTTTTAAAATGCAAACGTGACTCTTCCCAAAAGTTATATTCAGGAGAGGAAAGGTTCTATTAAGTTTTGTAATTTTTACGAGATGCGCAGCGCGCATTTATGCTTTTTGTTTAAAGGGACAGTTATTGACTGTTTTGATCGAGTAGAATATTATAAATCTCGCTAGGAATACTGCAGTGAAATTATCGCCGCCAGAATCGAGGTTTAAAGGAAGGTCGGTATTTTGTGTGTGCATGTTATATATATATTTTTAGTAAATTTTCAAAATTCACGATTTTATTTATCGCGAAAAAACGAAATTATTAGTGAGACGTATTGGATTAACTTTGCTCAAAAATGCCGCGAGCGATGAGGCAAATTATTGAAAGTGCGAATCGCGCGCGATATAAGTCGTTAGCCAAAAGGGTATCATATAGAGTATCACATATCTGTTTAAAAATGCCATGTACACCCGTTATCTCACCCGACTGGCTTCATGTGGGACTCGAGTCGAAATGTATAAGGCCTAAGAGAGAAAAGTTTCCGTCAAACTGAGCGTACTCGCGCCGAGTGTTAGTATTACATAAGAATGCAGGATGGTGTCGCAGAAGCCAATATCGATCGCCGGCTCCAGGGAGGACAAAACTTCCGATCCGAAGGTCGACGAGTCCGCTGTCCGACTCCGTTTGTCTTTCGCGAGAGGGGAAAAGTGTGTCGCGCGCGACTCTGAGAAATGGCTTCGAGGAGCGTCATCTCCTCTTTGTTATATCGGGTGTATATTTTGTTAGTCTTGAATTGAATTATAAAACGCATGATTCGCTGGGGAAGCGCTTAAAAAAAGACTGTGATTGCGGAGGAGATTTGTAGAGGGAAAGAGAGAGCTGCTAGTGCGCTGATAATTCTGATAGATAAACTTCGCACGGAAGGAATGATTTGGCTGAAAAATTTAAAATTTTGCTGGATGTGAGAATAATTTTGTTGGACCATCAAAATAATTGCTGGAAATGAATTGAACTGTGACAAGCAATGCAAAAAGTTTTGATATTCTAGCAACCAGTTTGAGTTTCTAACAAAATTATTTTGATGCTCCAACAGAATTATTTTAAGATCTGTATCCGGCAAAATTTTTGATCTTTCAGCAAAATCGCTCCTCCCATGCGGTGAAAAACCCTGCATTTTCGCCTTTATATAAGACAGCACTAAACATCAAGCACCAAACGTTGTTCGATCTGTCAGATACAGGATGATCAATCGTGTTAGTTTAATATAGAAAGATATTATCTACTTTTGAAGTAAATTTCTTTTGTTAATTACAAGGATAGAATGCGTGTAGGAAAGATCACGCGTTCGAAAGTGTTCACAAAGGCGTCTGCAATACGTCCAAAATCTTTAATTTATCTTGTTTCTTTTTTGTATTCAATTTTACGGTTATTCGGCTATTTATAAGATAAGAGATATTTTTTATTTATTTATTTCTTTTTAGAAACTTGCCTTTTGCAAAGTCTGATCGCTCTGCTGAATTATGAATCAGATTCGATTTCGCGCGGTTATGTTGCCGGTGCCGAATGCCAGATGAGAGTATGTACATTGAAACGAAAGTATTTTACCTTCACTTCCTACGACTCGCAGAAATCATAAGGATATCGTTATTCTCGAGTCAATCGGCCGCGAAAGCACATGCCAACCAAACAACAGCCGCGTTAGTGTGCCTCGTATATCTCGCGTTTTTCTTTTCTTTTCTTTTTTTTTATATAAAGCATGAAAAAGTGTCTTTCTCGCCCGGCGACGTCGCCTCGTCTACAGCAGACGTCGATATGTTACAGATTATTATTGAAAACTATGAGGGGAGCCCATAATCGCCCGTCGTTGATGACGTACATGCCATATATATGTAATATATATGTATGTATGTATGTATGTAGGTATACAAGGTGGCGCACGAAATGTCATACCATTTGCTTTATATATTGATGAATCAATAAGTAATCTTAATATAAATACTACCTTGATTTTTGAGAGGTAAATTAAGGTCACTTATTGAGTCACCTGAAATATAACACATTTATTTCTATCAAAATTATAGAACTGGTATAGAACTGGTACGGATTTAATTACCAAAGTATGGAAAATATTGGATAATTATATAGCATGACATTTCGTGAGCCACTCTGTATATATCATATAGATATATGTATTTATATGACATATACATCGTATGTGATATACGTGATCATCGCATATGATATATATACATATTATATACATACATATGAAAGTTAACTGCCAACGTTGTACGTACGTGATCGAGAGCTGATTTACTCGGGACGACGCAGTTTACTATTCGGTGTGAACGCGATCCTTGAGTACCGGGTGTACTAAGCGACACGTTTTCTCTTCGCGCCTGTGCGTATATATTTCTGTGATCAATCTTTCACATTTATCTTCATAGAAAAAGGGGCCTTCTTAACGCATCAGACAAATTTGCCAAATTGAAGAAAGAGAGAGGAAACTAGCTCGAAATTCGCTCTCTCACCGTAGCGTTCTCGGGTAGATTAGATCGCGATCGTCGTGAATTTTAAAATACATAAGCATACCATTTTGCATCCGGTCTAGATTGGATCGTCGATCGTGGATCGTGTTCAGAACATTATATGTTTATCCATTTTTTATTAATAGTACATTTTTTTTATTTTATTGATTGTGATCTCGCGAACTAGAAAGAAATTTTTCGAATCATCAATTTTTCTATCATAAATCAATGTTTCTCTCGTAATGAAAACTTAATCAAGTATAGGTCTTTGTAGCTCTTGCTTCTCGACAACGATAATTTACTCTCTAAATTTTATTAGAATCTTACTCTAAAGAACGAAAATCAAGCTAGTCTTGAAAAAGGTTCAATCTTTAAGAGTGAGATTAACTCTGAAAGTTTTCGAGAGTAGAATAGAATTCGATAGAAAAATATTGACTATAAATCGATTGTCCCATGTCGCAACAATAGCGAGAATATTAATTCATCGAAAACATTTGTTCTGCATGTGAGGTGTTTCAAAAGAAGTTTATTAATATTCAGTGATATAATAGAGTTCGATCAATACTTAAACGCGACAATTTTTTTCGTCGTTGAAATGAATCACGTGTATTTTTCGCGATCTCGTCAATGTGTTGGTTAACTGCAAAAGTAAATAATGTGCCAAATCGATTTATCCGCCTCTGTCCCCGTTGACGAACAATTTTGATGCACGAATTAATCAGTAATTAACAAGAGCCGGTTATCGCGACTTTCAATCACGAACGATATTGCATCGTGCAATCACAACACGCGAGATATTAAATTTATTTATAGATACTATGACGTTTGTATACATTTTTAATTTAAAAGTTATATTATCTCTCATCGCTCTTCCCCTTCGCGGATTTTTTATATTTTTATTATATATCTTCCGCGAGATTAATTTGACGATAGTTCCAAGTTGAGATTGTCACCTGTGATCCACGATCGCGATTCGGTGACACAAGAATACCACCGATGTTGAATCTTCGATGCTGCTTTAAGCATCCAAAGCGTTCCATGACTAACGGGAGATCTTTTTTGATATCCTACTTTGGGATTTGAAACGATTTGATAATATTACACGAGCTGTATCTGATTAAGATTAAAGATATATTATCCCGTCGATTTCGAGCAAGAATCCGCACGTTAACTTATTAAAGGGAAACGATAGCGGATAATAATCATGCTGAAAATTTCCGAAAAACTGACATTCTCATGATGAGAAGCGTACATGTTACACTCGAATCTGGTGATTTGCTTTTCAGGTCAATCGGGACGACTTCGAGATAATTGCGACACCGTGACATTTTCCAGTCAGTGCAGGTGTTATCTGTAATATTACCTAAAAGAAACGATTATTTTTAGATGACATTTATATGTATATTACGTGGTGAACAGTGGTCTTATATTATCGACAATTTTAAAACGATTCGAATTCAATTGTGTCAAATAATATCACGATAATTATTCTAAGAATTTATAAGACCTTCATAATATTACGTGGTGAATATTATATTCAACAATTTTAATTGAAACTCAATTGTTTCAAAAAATATCATGATAATATTATCTTTCGAAGAAAGTGGAATTTATTCTTAATACAGAGATACAGAGAGAAATTAGAAATAAATTCTCTCGGTTTTCCGGAATGAAAAGTTTCACGATATCGCGTCTCGCTATCGTCCAGATTGTGACCTCATATTAGTGTAGGAAAGTAAATGTGGTAGCTAAGCAACAACGAGAGACGGAGCTGTTGTTTTCTCCGGATCGTCGGTGGCCGCACGACTCGCGACGCTTCGGCGACGCCGTATTCGTTTTGTACATTTGATTTCCGGATCTTTGTGGAGGGGTGCCGAGTGCCTTTCTGAATATCCCTGGCCGTAGCGTCGTGTCGTCTGCTCCTCGTCAATGAGAGGAGGAGCTGTCAGGACGGCCACCCTTGAATAAGGGTGCGTAACCGGGCGCTTTTTCGCTAACGTATATTTCTAGCATGCAGTGCGTATGTGTATGTGTGTGTGTGTGTGTGCGTGTGTGTGTGTGTGTGTGTGAGAGTGAAAGAGAAAGAGAGAATAAAAAGAAATGAGAGACATGGCCTTCTTCTTCTCCTTTTGTAATTTTAATCCGTCGTATACTCGCCTCTAACGTTTTAACGCGAGCTCGCCGAAGATATCTAGCAGTTTTGTAAACATTTACTTCATGCTGTTAGGATAACACGCTGAGTGCGAAGCAGCGAAGGAGTGGGTGGGAGATGTTTGAAATTAAGGAGTAAAATGCGCTCATGTAATTTTAAGACGACGATCGACGCGGTTGAAAGCTAATGAGATAATCAACATTTTCTATTTCGATCTTTTGTAAGTTATTAATCCATCGTTTTCCGAGACTGCGAAGTATTACGCAGCGACAAGGTTTCGCCATCTGTATTATCCTTCCGGCGAATTTGATAGATTATTGTTTTCTTCGGACTACTAAAAATAAGGCGGAAACCGCGTAGTGTAATTTAAAAGGGATCCAGTCTTCCGAAGGAAAATACGCGCGACAATCGAATTAACCCTGTAGAGGCGAGTATTGCATATTTGAGACATTCATTTTAAAATTTAATTCGGGATCTGTTCAGATTAGTTGTTCTTTTTAGCTGAACTTCTTGCACAATTCATTTTTTTCTCAGCTAAAAAGAACAGAAAGTGCGCAGCGTAATTTGAAAGGGATCCAGATTGGATTTTCCGAAGGGATAAATTCGGAGTAAATTCCGGATTTATACAAATTGGTTTTGTTCTTAGTCCTGTTCTTTTTAGCTGAACTTCTTGCACAGTTCATTTTTTTCTCAGCTAAAAATAGTAAATCTTCATATAATAATTATCAAAAATTTGTTGATATCGACAAAGTATAATATATATATTAATAGAATTTACACTTAAGAACTAAAGATGGAATCACTAAAATATAGCATCTTTAGCTCTGTTCTTTTCAATAGAATTTCTTTGTCACACAGTTTATTTTTTCTCTTTTTCTCTCCAATATAAAAAGAAAAAGAAGGAAAAACGAATTATATATCTATAAGTTTAGCTAAAAAGAATAGATCTTCTAACTGCCAAAAAGGCAATGTGTTAATATACATGTATCAACATGAATATCGGAAAAAGTATATGTCAATAGATTATTAACTTGCAAGATATTTTTTAGTAAAATCAGTAAAAAAAATGAAGAGGACTCCCACGATTCTTTCTTTTTTAACAAGACAATGCTACCTCTAGATGGTTAAGTTGTTCATAATTATCAAAAATTCGAATCCGTTTAAACTCCAATTAGGTCACTTAGGATCCATTGAATCAAACGGGTTCATACGACAGGTCCGATTCACTCTTGCAATCGGACGTGCCATTGTCCGCCGAGGTCCTTCCTTTCAGAGTGCTAATAAGATTGAAATCCGGCGTGTGGCGCGCGGGCGAGATCGGGCCTAATTCAGCGTGGGCCAGGCGCGCAATTGTTCGAGCTTACCGTCGTAATTCTTCAATTTCGTTAGCGGCCTTTGTCGGGCGAATTTAGACAGTGAACTGAGATCGTATGCGCGCCTTCAACAGGAGCGACTCCTTCGTCCTTGTCCGTCGTCGTCAATGCCGAGTGTCTTCGACCTCCCTGATATTCGTTTCGCTTAACGTCGATCTATGTCATACGGGCGTTGTCGAACGACAGTGCATTAATTATTTTTATGTATTTGTTAGTATTATTACTGATTATCTCGATAACAATTATATTGCTCCTTTACTTTCAAAGTGATACAACTACAAAATTAATTTTTCAAGACACAACTAAAAAAAGTCAAATTTTGTCAAGTTTTAAGAGACAACTTGAACTTTAGATTTTTTAAATGAAAAGGGAAAAC